CAGTGACGTCACCCCGCGCGAGCCCCGCCCCCGGGGACGCCTGAAGTTGATGGAAAACACCCGCGGACGCCCGGGTGCTGTCCTTAAAGGGCCAGGCCAATGTGATACACCGAGATGTCTGAAAACTGTGGGAAATGTGGGTATGCCAGGGCAGCTACACCTTCTCTCCAAGCTCCCACTCTGTACTGAGCCCAACAGCAATGGACTTAAAAAGTAGGTGCATTGAAAGACGTTTGTGATGTTGTGTCAGGATTCCTAAAGAACCAATGTCTTCCTAGCAAGGCATGACTTTCCGATATTAACAGCTAACACTTTACACTTTTGCAGAATTCCATTGGATTCTTTCCTGAAGTCTTTTCATGAGTCTGTCTTTTCTTTATAAATGCGGCTCCCTTTCATTTTAAGGCCCTTCCCTGTAACCTTGCAATAACTTCAGTTTTCTTTGAAAACTTTGCTACTTCTTCAAGCAATTAACTTCTCTATTATCTAAGCTACTAGAGCAGTGGTTCTCAACCTTCCTAATGCCACGACCCTTTAATACAGTTCCTCATGTTGTGGTGACCCCCAATTTCATTGTTACAAATTGAACATAATTGAAGCATAGTGATTAATCACAAAAACAATATGTAATTATATATGTGTTTTCCGATGGTCTTAGGCGACCCCTGTGAAAGGGTCATTCGACTCCCAAAGGGGTCGCGACCCACAGGTTGAGAACCGCTATACTAGAGGCTCGGTGCACGAAATTTGTACACTCAGCGGGGGGAGGTCTCAGCCTGGCCTGTGCCCTCTCGCAGTCCAGGAGCCCTCGGTGGATGTCCAACTGACGGCTTAGGCCCGCTCCCCATGGGAGAGGCTCCTGCCACCACCGCTGCACTTGGCAGCAGTGAGCCCAGCTCAGGGCTTCTGGCTGAGCGGCGTTCCCCCTCTGGGAGCGCACTGACCACCAGGGGACAGATGCCCAACGCAGGAGCTTCCCCTGGTGGTCAGTGCATGTCATAGCGATCGGTCCTTCCGCTTCTTGGTCAATTTGCATATTAACCTTTTATTATATAAGGATTGCCTAGGTAGTTCTCAAACTTCAAGATCCATCAAATGAAGCAACCACCCCTTGGATTCTCATTCAAGAAGTCTTAATGAAACTTGAGAATTTGCATTTCTAATCAGTACTCAGACCTTGTTGGCATTGCTAGTCTCAGGACCAGTCTGAGATCATTGCGATTTTCATTGCACCTGTAATACTGTGCCTATAGTAATTATTCTGATTTCAATAATCACAGAGATGATCTTTATTTCTGGCCTTCCATCTCCAACACCTCCTCCGTGATCTTATCTTTCATCCCGTGAGCCACTTACACCTGCAGTCATACACTAAGCCTTGCCATTACCAAACACCATACCCTTCCATATTCTCAATCCAATCATCTCTCTTCAGCCTTATCTGCAATCTTTTGAACTCTCTCCAGTATCCAAATTGCAATAATTTGTAGATGCCATTGGGATCACTGTCCTCTCTCTTTCGCTCTCTACCACATCCTAACCCTATTCCCCCCCCCCCCACCGCAGTCTATTATGCACCGTTCTAATATTCCCTTGCATTTATTCTCAGCTCTCTAGTCCTTCTCTTTTTTTCTCATACTCACCTTACAAAACCCAGCCCCACTTACATTGAAATATCAATCCGCCTTATGCTGTGTCTGTGCACTGATATTGCCTAACAGATAGGTCTGGGTCTGGCCTCAATTTAAATTCATGACCACTCAAGTGGGCTCTAAGTACTGCCCATAATAAAGTATATCCTACACATTGCCTTATTTTTTATAGACTTTCACCTTCATGTATTAAAGAGTTACAGTGTAAAACATTGGAAAATTTTTGTCACAACCTAAATTTTCAAAATGTTCTCCTTTAAAAAATTTTTTTTGTTTTCAGTAATTTAAATTCCTTTGATTCAAATGGTTAAAAAGGACAAGGCCACTAGCTCCCAAAACTTCTCAAATTTGAAATATCTTAAGTGTGGACAACCCTTAACTCCAAATCCAGGGAAAGTAAAAGGGAGTCTAAAAAAGAGGACGATCTGGACAGGAGTGGTATTGACACCACAAGGATAAATACTTCCCTTTCTTTATCTCAAACATTTCTTCTTCTGATGTTATTTTAGTCCTGACTTGCAAAGGTCAAAGTCCCTTTGATACTGCTGTTTACTTTGGAAAGACACACAAAAAAAATGTTTAAGGAAAATTATTGAAGAATTCTCACCACCACCACCCCATCTCATGCTATTCTTAGGAGTTGATGTACATAAGAAACAATTATTATTATATTAAGCTATTGAGAATTTTTGCCGTTTTTGTTGATGACATCTCAATATCTGATAAGATATTCTTTTAAATAGTGGTTCCCTTTTTTTAGAATCTTTCCTAAAGAAATTCATCCTAAGTAGAAAATACATTTTATGAACAGAGACTTTAAAATATTTTTTAAATATCTGATGTATAAATTTGAGTACATGCATTCAGTTAATTATTATGGCCATATTAAAAATAACATGAAAAATTGTAATAGCTTAGAAGAAGACCCGTGGTAATGCCAAGTGCAAAAAAAACCACCTATATACGAAGGTAAATGTAATATGATCTGCAGAATATTAGAAAATATGTGTGCACACACACACACACACAAAACACTGGGGAAAATATACCAAAATCTGAACATAGTTTTTAGATAATGGGAATATGAAGTTTTTGATTATTTTAAATGTTGTTCAATTTTCTGTAATAAACATACTTGCAAAAGAAATGAGATATTTCATTTTAGCTAATTAATGTTGAATATAACTTAAAATGTTTACTGAATAAATGTCACTAAAATATTTCTCTAAGAAAATTATTTACACTAGAAAAATTTTTTAAATTAATTGACAGTACCTTTTGATGTTTGGAACAATCTGAAGAAGACATTTGATTTTGCTTTTCATAAATTATACTAATGCACACATATGGTATATGTTACTAGTTAATGTATTTCTGTGAATAAACATTTTTAAATCATTCTATGAAATGAATGATTTATAAGATTGTTACTGACTTGTGTTTTTGTGCTCATTAGCAAAACATGAGAACAAATGTTAACAATAATTAACACTAGGTAGAATCTCATAGTTCGCAAAAAAAGTTTTTGACATATTGTTTTGTTAGACACTTAAAAATTATGCTGATTATAATAATGGTTAAATTAAAAATTGTAATCTGCCAGATGCAGTACAGTTGCCAAAAAATTTTGTAATTTCAAAATACTTCTGTCATGCTTCATTCATCATTTGTGAGATACAGAATCTCACAAACTTTTGCAAACTGCACTATTTCAGTTGATTTGTGTATGTGTGTGTTTTTCATCAGTCCCATGGGTGGTAAGACAAATTATTTCAGAAGCTTTGAAAAATTTCACCTTACTTGTGTAGTCTCTTAATTCATATTTCAAAGGTTTA